CCTGGAGAAGATCGGGCAGGGAACCCAGGCATGTTCCCATCTGGGGAAGGGAAAGAAAGGCATTTAAATCCACCCCCCACCTCCCCGAGTCTCTCCGCAAAAGCAGAGAGGCTCAGGGAAAAAAAGTCCTGGCTGGCTGAAGAAGGGAAAGGAAGGGTGGACAGGCAGACATGCCTGTGTTCTCTGCCCGATCTTCTCCAGGCACCTAGAGAAGATCGGGCAGGGAACCCAGGCATGTTTAGAATGCCTTTCTTTCCCTTCCCCATCTGAGGAAGGGAAAGAAAGGCATTTAAATCCCCCCCAGGCGGAGGGGGGGCTCTGCAGGCCTTCCCCGGTCCGTCCACTTGGGCGGGCAGGCCAGGAAAGGTGGCAGGGGGCCCGCCCCTGGGCTCCTTACTGCCAGAGTGCCGTTCCAGCACTTTCCGGCAGGAAATGACCCCTGAACAGAAGGGGACAGACAAATCTCTTTCAGAGCTTCAGAGTTTCAGAGCTTTGGTCAGAGCCATGACCGAGAAGACCTTCTCCTGGGTTGCCTTGCACCTAATCTCAGAAGGCAGGGGCACCTGAAAGCAGGTGCCTCTGAGGATAACTATAATGGTTGGGTGAGTTCATAAAGGCTTAGGCAGTCTCCAAACCATTTAGGGCTTTGAAGGTCAAGACCAGCACCTTGAATTGTGCCCAGAAACAAATTGGAAGCCAGTGTAGGTAGGCCAAGACTGGAGTGATATGATCCCCACTTCAATCAACATCCTGGCTGCAGCATTCTGTTCCAATTGAAGTTTCCAAACACTTTTTAAAGGGCAGTCCCGTGTAGACCACAGTGCAATAATCTAATGTAGATGTTACTAAGCATCCTGGCTGCAGCATTCTGTTCCAATTAAAGTTTCCAAACACTTTTTAAGGGCAGTCCCGTGTAGACCACACTGCAATAATCTAATGGAGATGTTACTAGGGCATGTAGTACAGTGGCCAGATCTTTTCTGTCCAGCAAAGGCTGCAGCTGGCTAACCAGTCAAAGCTGGTAAAAGGCACTCTTGGCCACAGTTGCCATCTGTCAGATTTGGAGAGGTCCCGTACAACTTTTATTGGCATTCAAGCAGTTCATTATTGGCTTGCATGAAAGCATCATATTTGAAATGAATTATGATAGTAGTGAGATCAGTTTCTTGGATGTCAACATTAAAAGGGTGGGGAATAAAATTGAGCCCAGCACTCACAGGATGCTGAGGATTAGGAGGAACTGTAGCCTCTACTCTGACTTTGAAAAACAGGCTAAGTTATTGATGAATCAGTTTATAGATAGGGGCTACTCCTCCAAATTAGTGAAACAGGCTTTTTATAAGGCCACAAATATAAACAGATCATCCCTTTTGTTGCCAAAAACTAGACAAAGTCATTCTGACAGAACTATTATTCCATTGACCTACAATGGGAGATCATCTCAAGTTAGCAACATCATCAGAAAACATTGGCACCTACTTGCCAACATTCCCAGATGTAAGACCTAATTCCCTCTTTGCCTATCGCAGATCCAAAAACCTGAGAGACATGCTTGTTAGAAGCAGTTTAAAACCATCCCCTGCAATACAGAATGGAGTGGTTAGTAGGAGTATAGGTAAAGGTAAAGGTTCCCTTGCTCGAAAGCCAGTCGAATCCGACTCTAGGGTTGCAGTGCTCATCTCCGTTTCAGAGCCGAAGAGCCAGCGCTGTCCGAAGACATTTCCGTGGTCATGTGGTCGGCATGACTAAACACCAAGGTGCACGGAACGCTGTTACCTTCCCAAATGTTTGCCTAAACATGGAATTCACTGCCACAGGAAGTGGTGGCGGCTACAAGCATGGACGGCTTCAAAAGGGAATTAGATAAATATATGGAGCAGAGACCCATCAGTGGCTATTAGCCACAAGGTATAGAAAGGGACTCTGGGGCAAGTGATGCTCTGTCTTCTTGGTGCTTGGGGGGGTCAACAGTGGGAGGGCTTCTAATGTCCTGGCCCCACTGGTGGACCTCCTGATGGCACCTGGTATTTTTGGCCACTGTGTGACAGTGTTGGACTGGATGGGCCTGATCCAATGTTGGCGTCTCTTATGTTCTTATGTTCTTAAATAAATTACTCTGTCAAGATTTAAGTTGGAAGTGGGACTATAGGAATTTGGACTATTCTTTTATATTGTTCTCCAGAAATAAGGTAAAGGTAAAGGTTTCCCTTGCTCGAAAACCAGTCGAATCTGACTCTAGGGTTGTGGTGCTTATCGTTTCCAAGCCAAAGAGCCAGCACAGTCCGAAGACATTTCCGTGGCCATGTGGCCGGCATGACTAAAAGCCGAGGTGCACGGAAGGCTCCGAAAATAGCCTCTTCCAAATGCCATGATTAAAATATGTTTATGAGAATTCAGCTATTTTTGCTCAGCGTAGTCCTTGTGCGAATATATTTTTTCATACTTTTTGAATTGGTGACCCACATGAGAAGGTCAATAATCCTCTCTCATAGAGGACTTACAGCTGAGTGGACTTTTGACACGTAATCCCAGGGAAGTCTGGTTAAAAGATCTTGGGTGTCACAGGTGGGCAAGATCATTGGCTGTGATCCTGGAGAAACTCTGCCAAGCCATAAACAGCACTGAGCCAGAGTCAGTATAAGGAAGCCCCACCCTGAGAATTGTTCCTGTTCTGCAGTGTACAGGATGAAATATTATAAACAATACGAAGGGTGAAAGAAATCTCTGTAGGTAATAATTTGACATATTTCTGTTTAATTTGTAGCTGTTGTGACAACGGACTGCAGAATTACTGGAATAGCTCTCTTTACTGGAAAACCTCCTTTTAATTTCTCTGAGGCACAAGAAGCATGCAAACAGCTAGGGCTAGTTCTGGCACATAAATCCCAGATTGAAAACGCTTTGAAGCATGGCTTTGAAACCTGCAGGTACATTTTGTTTCCACATAATTTCAAATCGTCTTACTGATTTTATTGCATTCTGGGTTTTAATGGGAATATTTCTTTGTGCAACTTTTTTTTTGCCATGTGCCATCCAATAAGCAATTTAAAAAATATATGTTTTATATTAACATATAAAAACCCCTCTCTATTCTGGGTTAGAGCCAGTTACTCCCTTTCTCTGAGAAGTTTTCTTTCAATGAAAGACATCTCCCCTCAACTATTCACTTGGTGGAAGGGAGGCATTAAAAACACATAAAAACAAAAATCATAGAATCATAGCATTGGGAGGGGGCCATACAGACCATCTAGTCCAACCCCCTGCCTGATGCAGACCATCTAGCCCCACCCCCACCCTCCCCCTCATCCCAGCAGTGTCTTTTCCGCATTGAGAGAAGGCAACTGGGCAGGCACAAGATATCCAAGTTCAAGGCAGGCAGAGCTGACGGCCAGGTGGAGGGCTGAGAAGCTGGTTATTAAATTACTTTTAATCAAATTAGCCAGTGCCCAAGTGCCCCCCAAGGAATTCGTTAGAAATTCCTGGCTACGGGCTTGGAAAGGCGTGGATCACATGAAGTCATGCTATGGTATCCTCTAAACTATGTTTTATTACAGTTGCATAAGACAAACAGCAGCTATTGGAGATACTGTTTTTACAATGGAGGGACACGTTAGAAATATATCCTGACTATGAAGAAAGAGAATACAAAGAATTTGCTCATGTATGTCTGCACGTCAGCCAATTTGCATTTGTGTATGTGATGGTACAGACCAAATTATGGGATAGACAATACAACCTTGAAAGGGGTAAAGAACTGGGTGGCAGACTGTTTTGTTTTGTTTTTGCAACAAATACTATTTCAGCCTTAAAACTTTGAGTGTCAGATCTTGGAGGTGATTATAAACTGGCAATTCAAAAAGCTGTCAAGAACTGACAATATTGTCTTACTTTCTTTCTTTGAACTTTAGTTAAAGCACTTTCTGCTTTAACTAAGAACTTTTATGCATGCTTGAGTTACTCCTGATTTTCTTGGAACTCCATCTACAAAGCACTGGGATTGGTTTGGGCAGGGTTGTTCCACACATCTGCCCCCTGTGCCTTTTTCCAGCTGTGGACTTTGTTTATTTTCTTCTGCATGTGGCTTAAATAATGAGGCTTTACAAGGGAGAGTGCTGTTGTCATTGGGGTCATTTAAAAAAAAACAACAACCCTAAGCATTGTGTGTGTGTTTAGTGTCGTCAGGCTGCTTTTGACTTATGGTGATCCTATGAATTAATGTCCCCCGAAATGTCCTATCATCAACAGCCTTGCTGAGGTCTTGCACACTGAGGTCTGTGGCCTCCTTTCTTGAGTCCATCCATCTCCTGTTGGGTTTTCCTCTTTTCCTGTTGCCTTCAACTTTTCCTAGCTTTATTGTCTTTTCCAGTGATTCTTGTCTTCTCATAATATGACCAAAGTATAATAGCCTCAGTTTGGTCATTTTCACTTCTAGGGAGAGTTGACGCTTTAGTTCATCTAGAACCCATTTATTTGTCTTTTTGGCAGTCCACGATATCCGCAAAACTCTCCTCCAACACCACATTTCAAATAAGTCAACATTCTCCTGTCAGCTTTCTTCATTGCCCAATTTTCACACCCATACATAGTAATGGGGAATACTCTGGCATGAATTAACTTTATCTTAGTCCCTACATTTAAGAATATTTTCTAGCTCCTTCCCAGTCTCAGGTGCCTTCTGATTTCTTGGTTGTAGATGATAATGGAGCCAAGGAACAGAAATCTTGGACAATTTAAGTTTCTTCATTGTCAACCTTTGTGTAACTCTCCAGTAGTCATTATTTTTGTCTTCTTGATGTTTAGCTGTAATCCTGCTTTGGCACTTTCTGCTTTATCCTTCAGCAGTAGTTATTTCAAGTTTTCCAAGTAATGTGGTGTTATCTGCGTATCTCAAATTGTTAATGTTTCTTCCACCAGTTTTCACTCCACCTTCATCTAAATCTAATACAAGTTTCCTTATATGTTCTGCATATAGACTGGATATATAGGGAGATAAAATATATCGATATATATAACTAGCAGTAAAGCCCGTTGTGAAAGCAATACAACGGGATCTAGAAAGAGGCTCTGGGGCAGTGCTCTGATCAGGTTTCAGAAAAATATCAAGGTGAAAGTCGTATCAAAAGAGCCGGGAAAAACTGGGAGGGGAACACAAAAAAAACCCTGAAGTGAAAGGTCCATCACCCCCCCAAAAGTATGCGCAGGGAACGCACTTACCAATAGGAACTGTGGCAGAGCCATGCAGGGCTTGGTACCGTTGCTGCTGTTGGCGGCGGTGACAGGGGCGGGGGGGGAGAAGCCTTGGAGGGCCAGCGCTGGGAGCTGCGGATGTTGTTGCTGTCGTGGGGGGGAGCCTGGTGGCCCAGCAGCTAAGAGCTGCACATAGCTCGCCACCATTGCTGCTCGTGGTGGCAGGGGGGAGAAACCTTGGAGGGCCGGTGGCTAGACTCAGCTGTAGCCATTGCTGCTGTCGTCAGGTGTGTGTGGGGGGGAAGCCGGGCAAGTCCAGTGGACCGCCTGCTAGGATCACCAGCAGCTGCTGCAGCGTCCTCCTCTGTGCTGAGCTCCTGCTGCTTCAGCAGGCAAGCCACCCGGGAGCCGCAGGGAATACTCTCCCTGCCCCGTGAGTATTGCAGGTCCCGCCTCTTGTCCTTGTTTAACACCTTTACCAATTGGAAACCATTTTGTTTCTCCATATTCTGTCCTAACAATAGCCTCTTGTCCGGAGGCTTCTATTTCTTTACACTGGTTATTATAATAGTTATCTTTGCCTCTACATGTAGGTTGCTGGAAAACTGCATTTACACTTTTGATTCAGTTTATGTCACTTTTTTTTTTTGCGTCTTATTTATTTTGGGAATCCAGAGAATCTGCTTGAACCATCATTACAATACCACAGTGTTATAATGATATTGTAAAGCCATTGAAAAAACAACCACTGAAATCACTCATCATGGGGGAAGAGGAAGTGGTTTATCAGTGATGACAGTCCAATTATTGAAAAGTGGTGCAAAGAAAACCTATAGAAACATTACACAATAGGAAAAAGTTGACTCAAAAGGGTCAAGTGCCCTGAAGCAGAAGGAAAGGATTTACAGAAATGGATACAGTCTGAAGTCTGTCATTTCCTGAAATCATGCTGGTGCTGGAAACTTCCCTGAATGTTTGGAAGTGGGTACAGCATAAGTGGGCAGTCTTGGGCAAAATCTCACCATCACTACTTACCAGTATCTTGACATCAGTGATAGCGGCTATCACTGGCAGAGGAAGGAGCAAACCATCACACTGTGATGTCAGAACACAAGTAAATTCCTAAGTGTTTCTGAACAGGAGAATAAATTAAATAAGCAGTGTCCAATTTTGGCAGCCACACACTCAGTATAAAGAGGATTTATGCTCTTTATTAACAGCCTGTTTAAAAACAACAGCGCAGAATAAATACCTGAGTGTTGAGTGAACCAGATAAACATTTTAAATGTACTTAACACTGACATGGATTTGGGAACATCATTCATTACTACAGTTGTCAAAGTCACTTTCCCGTAAATTTGTGTATAACTTTCAGAATACAGTGCACAATACCACTCACAGTAAGACATATTTGTTGGGATAGAAACAATAGAAGCAAAATAGTACTGGGAGATCAGAAATCCTGCCCTGCAAGGGCCACCTTGTGCGATGACAACTAGATCCTGGACTAGAAATATGTAATAATTGTGAACATTGCACAAAAAGTTGTATCATACTGGATTTTTTATTTACTATAGATCTACTTGATGATCAATGCAATTCTAATAGCTTAAACATTTAAAATATATGAAAAGCACTGGGCAGACATTCAAAATGTATCAGTACTATTATAATAGTCATCACCCCCAATATAAAATGTACTTGGCTGAAACCTGATGTAACTATTGTCAGTCTAGCTATAGCTCATAGCATTGTTTAAAGATTCAAATGAAGAAAGTCATTCAGCATCCTTTTTGGTGAAGGCAACTGCGTCATTGGGCTTTCCACTAGGGATTCCTATTAAGAACTGTAAAGATGTCATTTCCTTTCATTTCCTTTCTCACTTATTTCAAGCTACATAAGGCGTGTATACATCCTCTTAAAAATAAGAGATCACTTTTACAGTCCAGAGCTCTCCTACATTTACTAGAGATGTAAAATTTCTCAAAATGTAAAGCTATGGGGATTTCTCGTTTATGTTTTTTTTCTGGGAAAAATAGGAAATTGACTATGCGCAGCAATATTTCTTGTCAAAGGTAAATGTATTTTACTGCTTTGATGAGGTACCCTGTCAAAAGCCTTTTGAAAGTCCAAGTATATAATGTGTACCAGGTCACTGTCATCTTTTTCACCTGCTTTTTTACCTTCTCAAAGAACTCCAAAAGCTTGGTGAGGCTGGATATCTGCATGTAATAGAGAAGAGAGTAATCAGTGAGAGGGGGAGATGTTCCTGTGTATCCCCCCCAGTCCATTTTTAATAATATGCAGAGATCCATATTCTAACACAGCAGATAGAGTACATTTCCTGTTCAGATACTGCAAATAATATACTTCTTCTACTAGCATTATGTGACTCTCTACCATACAGATTCAAACAATTTTTTAAAAAATCTTAAATTTTTTAAAAGGAATTCATCTCAAATGGGAAGAGGTGCAGCCACACACTCAGTATAAAGAGGATTTATACTCTTTATTAATAGCCTGTTTAAAAAACAGTGTTGAGTACATTTTAAATGTACTTAACATTGACATGGATTTGGGAACATCATTCATTACTACTGTTGTCAAAGTCACTTTCCCGTAAATTTGTGTATAACTTTCAGAATACAGTGCACAATACCACTCACAGTAAGACATATTTGTTGGGATAGAAACAATAGAAGCAAAATAGTACTGGGAGATCAGAAATCCTGCCCTGCAAGGGCCACCTTGTGCGATGACAACTAGATCCTGGACTAGAAATATGTAATAATTGTGAACATTGCACAGAAAGTTGTATCATACTGGATTTTTTATTTACTATAGACCTACTTGATGATCTATGCAATTCTAATAGCTTAAACATTAAAATATATGCAAAGCACTGAGCAGACATTCAAAATGTACCAGTACTATTATAATAGTCATCACCCGCAATGTAAAATGTACTTGGCTGAAACCTGATGTAACTATTGTCAGTCTAGCTATAGCTCATAGCATTGTTTAAAGATTCAAATGAAGAAAGTAATTCAGCATCCTTTTTGGTGAAGGCAACTGCGTCATTGGGCTTTCCACTAGGGATTCCTATTAAGAACTGTAAAGATGTCATTTCCTTTCATTTCCTTTCTCACTTATTTCAAGCTACATAAGGCGTGTATACATCCTCTTAAAAATAAGAGATCACTTTTACAGTCCAGAGCTCTCCTACATTTACTAGAGATGTAAAATTTCTCAAAATGTAAAGCTATGGGGATTTCTCGTTTATGTTTTTTTTCTGGGAAAAATAGGAAATTGACTATGCGCAGCAATATTTCTTGTCAAAGGTAAATGTATTTTACTGCTTTGATGAGGTACCCTGTCAAAAGCCTTTTGAAAGTCCAAGTATATAATGTGTACCAGGTCACTGTCATCTTTTTTACCTGCTTTTTTACCTTCTCAAAGAACTCCAAAAGCTTGGTGAGGCTGGATATCTGCATGTAATAGAGAAGAGAGTAATCAGTGAGAGGGGGAAATGTTCCTGTGTATCCCCCCCCAGTCCATTTTTAATAATATGCAGAGATCCATATTCTAACACAGCAGATAGAGTACATTTCCTGTTCAGATACTGCAAATAATATACTTCTTCTACTAGCATTATGTGACTCTCTACCATACAGATTCAAACAATTTTTTAAAAAATCTTAAATTTTTTAAAAGGAATTCATCTCAAATGGGAAGAGGTGCACTCCTCACAAACAATATCCAGTAGGTGCCTATGACACGCTTACAATCACATTCAGCGGCCACAATACATTGTTTGGGGAAATTTAATTTCCGAGTAATTGGTCAGCTGAGCATTCTGAGGATGTTGTTGAAGTTCTGAGCAAGTGCCTGGAGTCAGTAATGGGCTGGATGAGAGTGAACAAGCTGAAACCTAATCCTGACAAGATAGAGGTTCTGTGAGTTAGTAGAAAAGCAGACCAGGGATTAGAGACATCTGCTGTCTTGGATGGGGCTACATTCCCCTTGAAAAGCCAGGTTTGCTGCTTAGGACTGTTATCTGACACAGAAGTCCCCTTAAAAACACAGCTGGCTGCAGTGACTCACAGTGCTTTTGTCCAGCTTCAGCTGGTGTGTCAGCTGTGCCCATTCCTGGTTCCATCAGATCTAGCCACAGTGACCCATGCCTTAATTACTTCTAGACTAGATTATTTCAACACACTTTACTTGGCACTATCCTTGAGGAGTGTTCGGGGGCTGCAGCTAGTGTGGACCAGCTATCGGGAGTATCAGATCCAATATTACAGCAATTACACTGGCTACTGATCCACTCCCAAGCCCAATTCAAGGTGTTGATTTTGACCTTTAAAGGCCTACATCAATCAAAGAAGCTTGTTTGGTGGGTACACAAGAGAGAACCTTTTCAGTGGCAGCCCCATGATAATGGAGCAACCTTCCAAGGGAGGTGTATCTTGGCCCCTCACATTTGAACTTTAGGGAGCAGTTGAAGGGGGTTTTATTTAGGACTGCATTTGGTTAAGATCACTAACAGTTCTGAGTTGTGATTTTAAATTTTGGCTTTTCTGTTTTTAAATGTATTTTATTTTATCTATTTTATTTATGTTGTAAGCTGCCTTGAGCCCCCATAAGAAAGGAACATGGCTATTAAATCCATGAAGTGTGAAATTTCCCTTCCTTATATATTCATATTAGTGGCAATAAGAATGGCCAAACCTCCTTTGGGTTGGCCGGGGCCATCACTCAGAGAGGCTTTTAAGGAGTAGGTGTGAAATCCTTGAAGTTGTATGGTCCTGAATTTCAATTATACGGAATTAGATGCCAAACATCTAAACCACCCAGCAACATTCCAGGAGAGGATCGAAATAAATTTGCCAAGCTCCTTAGACTTACAGTTGGAGGTCAAAACTAGTCAATCTTTGGAGGATAAGAAAAGATTTTGACTGATAGCCGGAGATTTAAATTTTGGTCCCCCTACAGTCAAGGAATTGGCATTACCATCCATAGTACAATGGTTACCAATTAATGGACAGGGACAATCCTGAAGGGTGGGTATAGTAGGTCCCTTTAGTAGGTGAGAGGAAGGGGTTGTGTTAGAGATTAATCCCTCACTCAGTGCCCCATGGCAATTGGTTGGCAGAAAGTCCATATTGGGATTAAGAGGCTCTGTAAGGGGAAGTTGCAGGGGGATAAAAGAGTCTATCAGAGGCTCTGTTCTGCCTGCTTCAGATGAATCTACTCGTGGGCAATCCTCCAATATTGCTGGGCTCTTGGCAACAGCAGAAACCTCCTTTTTGGGGCAATTTTTCAAAAGCAGAGTTATAACTGGGTCATAACCCTAGTGGGCTGAATCTTAAATTTTGTCAGGAACTGCCTTTGGCTCAAAAGCTTTTCAGGAATAGAGGATTTCTTAAAAGTCAAAATCAATCATTTTCCCATTGGAGAGGGGGGTAGAATCTTCACTGCAGACAAATCAATATGGTTGGTGTCCATTCCCAAAAGCGAGGCCAGTGAGTATATAGTGGAGTTCTTTGCCTCCCACCTTGCAAAGTTAACAGGCATTATTGCTATTGTTAGTGCAATTTTGTTATTCAACAGTACCCTTCTGGACAGTCCAGATGCAATGTTAGCATTTTCGGCAACTAGGTTGTTTGTAGTTTGATTTAGCACCTGTCAAGAGTCTTCTCCATAACCCTCTACGACTTCACTCCTACCTAACGAGCTGTTTCTGATTGTTAGTAGCTCTTTGAGTGTTTGCAGCTTATCGGATATTTTATTTAGATGCTCACATATTTTAATAACTGTTTCAGCAGTTAAGAAACTGTAGTCAACAATTAGTTTCACAAGTTCAGCTTTAGATAAGTTGTTAATGGAATCAGCTTCCAGGGCTCTAGGGGAGAGGGAAGCCGTTTGGGAGTGAGTAGCACCATTCACTTCCTCTATGTCCGGCAGAGATAATAGAGTATCTGCCTGCAGCTGTAAATGAGGTGAAGAGGGTTGTAAATTGTCCTGATGTTCTAACACCTCATAGTTGTTTGCTGAGCGTGATATAAGATAATCACAATCCACCTCAAGGTTATTTGCAAACATGTCATTTATCTTCAACTGTTTAAATCCTCTAGAAGGGGGGGATCCGGGTACGTTTTCAGCTAAACAGTCTCTATTTCTTTTTTGGGAATTCAGCATGGCAGATAAGTTATCATCAGCTTCCAGCACCGCAGTCTCTCCCATTCAGCTCACTCATAGCAGTTAAAAAAGGAAAATGTATCCCTCTTAAATTAGAAAAGAAGTAGTCTCTTATCTGAGCAGCCGAAGGCGCGTCCCTGCTGCAGTGTCCGGAAGCGGAAGCCTATTAAATGTTTAAAATAAATAAAGTACTCTGCACCGCTCTTGATCAGGCAATTGAGTCAAATGGAGTATTTATCCCTAAAGTGAAGGATGAGCAACCAACTATTGGTTTAATACTTCAGTTGAAAGATCTATAGATATATATGACTTTAACCTTCCTTCTCCTATTTAATAGTCCTCAGTATTGGAAGAAAAATGCAGAATTTTTACGTTTGGCACATTAAGGTCTCAGAACTGTGTAATCATTACCGTATTTTTGCTATTTCCTGATGTTTTCTTTTCCACATTTGTGGTTACCAAAACTGAATTTAAAGTCAACAGATGTTTGGATTTTGTAAGACTGGAAGTTATTGGAAGCATAAATCCACATTTTGGTAATGCAAAAATAAATTTGGCCATAACTGTTAAAGTTATTAATTGTAATTTATTACATCCCTGATAGGGAATGTAGTACTATTTGGTCTTTCAGCAACAAGGCTATAACCCACCTATATGGATACACATGTGGTCTATTATTTTAGGATGCCTGTTCATTTCAATTATTTTCACTTCTCTGAGTCTGACTGTTGTTATGACCTATGGTTAAACGATAAACTATTATAATGATAAACAGTGCTCTAAAATATGTTTTAAATCATCACCTAATTTATTCTGGTACACTTAGAAAATATGTCCACAGCATTAAAGTTTTTAACCGACTTTAGCTGCATGGCAAATAATGTCAGTACAACTTACTACACTGTTCCCTCTCCACCCCTTTTCAGATATATGGATTAATTCCTGTGTTCCAGAAGCAAGTACACCTACATTGCCAGATGCCTCTACAGAGATGAACTCCACTTCAGCTCTCTCATATCAGGACACTTCAGCAGTAGCTGGAACATCTGAGACAAAACAAACCAAACGACCTCATCCATTATTTCGAGTGATATGTGTAACAGAAACATTACCAACAGAAACAATAAGATATGAGCAGGAAATCACACTATCTCCGAACCAAGCAGCCTTTAAAAATGATGGTGTCGTATTTGGCGGTAAAGGCCACACACTATTACTTTGCTTATATGACTTAGATTTACGAGAGCTTAGTATTTCTCATAATGGATTCTGGTTGGTTGTTTGCCTCACTGAAAGATGGATGGATGGAAATGAGGAAAAAACCAGGAGGTAATTGTGAGGTTTTTAAAAAAGTGGGTAAGGAAGCAAAGGAAAAAATCAGCCGTGGAGGAAAAGACCTGCTCCTTATTCCATATGCATTTTGAGAGAGATTCTTCTTCAAGACTAACAATTAAAATAAGATAGTAAAGGGGAAACGCTGCTGACTGGATTCCTTGGTAAGAACTGTCATGTTGGTACAGAATGAGGAGTCAAATTTTATTATTATTATTATTATTATTATTATTATTATTATTATTATTATTATTATTATTATTATTATTTTAAATTTATATATCTACCAAGCTGAAATGGGAAAGATGTACCACGAGGAAGGATTTTTTTTTGAGGTGGAATTGTAACATGGAAACTGATCGTAGAATGTTCTTCAAGCCTCGCCGTGAAGGGCTAACCCATTACAAGGAAGAAATATTAGGCCAGATCTTCTCCTGGTTTTCTCCACATTTGTATTCATACAAAGTTTTGGGATAACGGGAGGGGGGCATCATAACTGAAAACAGTAAAATGTCTTTTGTTGTTGTTCAGTCGCACAGTCGAGTCCGACTCTTCACGACCCCATGAACCAGATCCCGCCAGGCCTTCCTGGGGTTTTCTTGGCAAAAATACTGGAGTGGGTTGCCATTTCCTTCTCCAGGGGCTCACTCTTGGTCTGAGTTCTCTGCTGTGGCCTGTCCGTCTTGGGTGGCCCTCCACGGCATAGCCCACAGCTTCATCGAACCACGTAAGCCCCCTCGCCACAACAAGGCAGTGATCCATGATCCATGAGAGGGGTACCACTGACTTAATCTGGATCAGGCTGTATAGTATGGATGATGTTTCAGAAGTCAGCAAATATTCTGCTCTGCAGTCTACAAGTTGAGTGCATTAGACTGTTTGGTTTTTTCTAATGAAGAGCCTTTGTTGCTTAAAACATGGGACACTTTTGTCATGTTTTCATATGGCATAAAGGCACATCTTATTCCTAGTGGGTTTCTACCACTACTTTTGCTCACTGGAGGTATGTATGGGGAGAGAGACAATGTGGCCGACCAGTTTATCTGCTGAAGGACTGACACGGAGTTACTGCTCCAGTGAAGGGAGCTGATGCAATTAGATTCATGCTCAATAATTATGATCCTAATTGTAAGGAAGGAAATTTAATTTCAGTACAAGGATATTGAGTTAGACAAGTGTTTTCAAAGTCTTTATATAAAGAATTGCTGCTGATTATATTTCCTATGCCCAGCCTGCCCTCTTAAAACCTTCTCTAGCCGACTGTTATCCCCCCCCCTTCTTCTCCCTCCAACTCCACTGTGGGGATAAAGCAGGAAAAGAAGGAAGTGCCAACAAAAGTGTTTTTCTGTGCCACAGGTGAAGACTGATCTGCTTCTGGTTTATGGAATTTGTTAAGAAAATACCAGTGGGTGGGTCCAATTTGGGGGGGGTGAGGTTTTCTGGTACTGTTCAGTTGTTCCTGTTTGTTGTTTTGATCATTTTTGTTAGATTCTATAGGATTATGGTTTTAGATATTTTGCAAGCTAACATGTAGACTGCATGGTTAAAAAGGTGGGATCTAATTTTTTTTAATAAATAAATAGCCGTGCTTTTAAGTGGTAACTTCTCACAGTGAGGGTAATCACAGTTAAACCCGGATCCGCTAGTCCAAGCTGGTGCAAGGGCTTCTGCAGGGAGAGGTAAGTCCTCAGAAATATGGATCCAGGCTTGAAGGTAACTGTGGACTGGCATCCATTAGTCAGAGATTAGTGTTGGCCAGTCTGGGAAGCACTAGAAATGATGGGTACTTCTTCAAAGTCTCTGATTCTAAGAAGTCTCCGGTTCTAAAAGTTATCTTTATTATGATTTTTTTTTGTCTCTAGGTATACCAACTGCTCTCCTGGTTCTAGCACTTATCTTCTTTGTAGCTACAGTTATTTTAGCTGTCTGCTATATAAAAAAGTAAGTTTTTTTTGTACTTGGTGCCAAACACATTTGTGCTGACGCAATTAGATTTTATTGCAATACATATTTCAATATTTATGATACGTCGCTGGTGCACGCGGTGCCTTGGTGCTTATCCTTGGATGTGTGTGCCCCTCTTGTTGCATGCAAACTGCTTTGCGTAATGTCTGAGCATATACATTCATTGGCAAAGATACCCTGCTGCCACGACCTTTTATGCAGCAGATATACAATACAGGAGAGGTGTAATCATATATGACTGTATATGCATTGGTATCTATTCAATACAAAATGTTCAGCACACAGTGAGGGACCTTATCAGCTCATCCATGTGTCTCACCACATGTACATTCTACACATGGAGGAACAGGGTCAATCAGCTCATAGTCTTGCAACAAACTTTCTTTTTAAACAGCTTTTTGGCTTCCTTGATTAATTCAACATGACTTACTGTAAATTAATTCAAAACAGAAGTTCTTTCATTCTTATATAGTACTCCTGAATACCTGATCTCTTAACTAGTTTCTATGAGCTTCTGTGGAACAACAGCTCATAAGCGAACCAAGCACTAAGAGTTTTGAAGCTAGGTCACTGGCATAACTGGCAGCAGGGCTATTTTTGGGCAGGAACGCACAGGAACAGAGTTCCGGCTGGCTCCCGAGTTGGCCACGCCCAGCAGGAACTCATTAGCACAATAGGCCACACCCAACAGCAGAGACTCATTCGGATTGGCTACATTAGGGGTGTGTGGCCTAACATGCAAAGGAGTTCCTGCTACAAAAAAAGCTCTGGGTTTTGACAACAAGGTAAACAGAATAAGAAGCAAAAGGTGGGTGTGGCTGGATGACCACACTTCTGGTAACATGGGAATGCGGCTTAATATGCAAATGAGTGGTGCAGTCAGGGGTGTGGCCTAATATGCTAATGAGTTCCTGTTGGACTTTTTCTACAAAAAAAGCCCTGACTGGCAGCATTGCAATACTCCAGTACCAGACCAGGAGAGTGCAGCCACAGCAACAGACCCATGACTCCACACAGCTACGGTGCATTTTGGCATTTATGTTACACTGGTGAGGGCAGAAGGAAGGCAGGGCTAGAAGTGCAGCATCCTAAAGATCACTTGAGCTGCTGTTCTTGCATCCATTCACATTGTCACTTTCACCCTTATTCCTTAAGCCATGAGAAATTCCAGGGATAGTGAATTTTCTTTGGATGAGGGAGCACTGGAGGCAAATCTTTATTTAAAAATACGCAAAAATAGCAGAATGAGGGGTAAACGTTTCTATAAGCAGACAGCCCAGTTGTTAATACTGTTACAGCTCTATCCGTTTCACAGCTCTGGATCTCTCTGAATTCCAAGTACAAACTGGCTTTCCTCATGCACAGTTCTCAGATCAAAGCTCAAGACATAAAATTGCCCATTCAGGAATGCATCCCATGCATTAAAGAATGTTCTTTTGTTAAAATTTCTGGAATTCATGTTCTTCAGCTCCAAGGGTTCTTGGAAGAGACTGATTTTCTGGACCCATTTAAATCTGGCTTCAGGCTGGCATTTGGAACAGAGACTGCTTTGGTTGCCTTGATTAATGATGCCTATTAAGAATAGGTGGGGAATAGAACAAAGTTTGAGTCCAGTGGCACCTTTAGGACCAACAAAGTTTAATTTTGCCTTTGATACTATCACAAGGTAGAAAGGCAGGTTAATAAATGCTTAAGATGAATAAATAAAATAGGTACCTACAGACAGTGATCAAGACAGCCAAATTCACAAACACAATGTCATATCTGTTTTCATTCCCTTAGGTTTTCACATAGAAAGTCGTACCCACAATGGTGCCACACATGCCAAAGTTGTTTGGCATCCATAAGTGAAAACCTCACTAGTGAAATATGCAGTTTCAAAGGAACTTAGAGGACCACCAAACCAAATAATTTGAATATACACTGATTCTAGAAGCTCTGTATGGGTGGGGTGATGCAGTTTTCCTTCAATGGCCTATTCCAGAAAGCAGGGCCGTCACTGAAAAATCTGTACAATATTCCTTCCCCCTCACATTAGGAGACTGCTGTGATTGCTGCAGCATAAATCAGTGTTAGTGCCGCACAGCTGAAACTATAGGAGAAATTGTTGGAAGAATAGGTCTAATATAGACATATTAACATATGGGTCATGAACCTTTTTCAGCCTGCAGGCACATTTGGAATTCTGACACAGTGTGGTTGGCACAACTCCCAAATGGTGGCTGCAGGAGGTGGAGCCAGCCACAAAATGGCTGCCACGGCTTACTTTCAGTCACATAATGAAGATCCTTGTGTTCTGGTGCTTGCTACTGCCATGGCAATATCTTTAAGAACCCGCACAGCCAATCAAATCTCCAGTGGCCAATCAGAAGCCTTGCTGGGGGAACACCCCACCCCATTCTATCTCCCTATATGCAGAGTACATCATAAAGAAAGCCGGGTTAGATTTAAATGAAGATGGAGTGGAAATTGGTGGAAGAAACTTTAACAATTTGAGATATGCAGATGACCCCACATTACTAGCAGAAAATAGTGAACACCTGAAATGGTTAAAGCAGAAAATCCCAAAGCAAGATTACAGTTGAACATCAAGATGGCAAAAGTAATGACTACTGAGGAATTACACAACTTTAAGGTTGACAATGCAGAAATTTACATTGTTCAAGATATTCTATTCCTTAGCTCAATCATCAATCAAAATGGAGACTGGAACAAAGAAATCAAAAAGAGACTGAGGCTGGGAATGGCAGCCATGAAGGAGACAGAAAAGATCCCTAAGTCTAAGGATGTGTTGCTGGCAACCAAAATCAAGATAATTCATATTAGAGTATTCCCCATTACTGGGACCCCTTTAAGAGCACATATACAACCTGTGCTCTATCAGCTGCACTGGCTCCAGACTCTGAGTACTGAATCAGGTTCAGGGTTTTGGTGCTTACCTTTAAAGCCCTAAATGGTCTGGGACCATCGTATCTATGGGACTGTTTCTCTATATATACCCCTCAGAGAGCAGTACGCTTGTCTAATAACAACCTATTGTTTACCCCTGGCCTTAGAGTGGTCCGGCGATCCTCGACCAGGGCCAGGCCTTTTTGGCCCTGGCCCCGACATGGTGAAATTCCTTGTCTGATGAGACTCGAGCCCTGCGGGACTTGGCTCAGTTCCAGAGGGCCTGTGAGACTGAACTCTTCCACCTGGCATATGGTGGAGGGTACTGAGGACTAAAGAAATCAGCAAACCTCCCTCTTTTCCTTTTCCTTTTCCTCTCCTTTTCCTCTCTTTCTCCCTTTCTCGTAGTTTATTCCCTTCTCATTCTGGTGTTTGCTTTATTCTTTTCCAATCCCATCCCTCCTTTCTTATTGCAGTTAAACAGAATCTTGAATTGATTGCCTATCTCGCTGCTGTCATTTTGACTGCAAGACTGCACTCAGAAGGACAATCTCTCTTTACCCGACCATTAGTGAAACATTCAGGGGCCTCACCGGGCTTTACCTACGAACATCATTCCCTGCAGCATCATGTTGTGTTTTCTCAAATGATAGGAAGGCCCTGTGAGCCTCTAGCCACCTGCCACCTGCGTCTGCTTTAAACCTGGCCTTCTTGGTGCCATGTGCTCTGCTTTCTTACTGCACTTCTCTCAACTGCACAGGGACAAGGCCATGCTCCCACCAGGCATTTCATTTCTTAACCAGCTAATCGTTCTAGGCACCTGACTTTCCTACACCTTATCTGGTGACGGAAAGAATTATTTTTGGATACCCAAAGAAAGCTGATAGCAGTTCGAAAGCAAGAAATTGGCAAGTAGATAAATAGGTACCACTTCGGTGGGAAGGTAACAGCGTTCCATGAGCCTTAGTGTTTAGTCATGCCGGCCACATGACCACGGAAACGTCTTCGGACAGCGCTGGCTCTTCGGCTTTGGAATGGAGATGAGCACCGCAACCCTAGAGTCGGACTTGACTGGCTTTCGAGCAAGGGAACCTTTACCTTTACCTTTTAAAGAAAGCAGACATCTAGACAGGACAACTCCTTTCAGAAAGCATGATGCCCTTTTCCTCTATTATTCTGCCTCCCCCTGCACCAAATAGCAAATGTCTTCACAATTCTTCAGCTGCTGTGTGAATCACCTTTTAAGCGCTGTCATGTATTGGTTTGTAAATTGCTCTCAGGGATTGTGAAAGTGTGTTCCACCAGAGCCACGAAAACCACAGCAGGGACTCTGCAGGATGGCCACCTAGTGTCATCTTTCCCCCTTTTGTGAGACACTGTGCCTCCTTTGGCAGAACTGTGTTCAGTGCTTCCTTTGCATGACAGCATGTGGTCCAACATCCGGTTGGTCATCCTGCTAATCTGTTCCCACTAGGGCTGCCAAGTGGGGGTGGGTGGCGAGTAAACCCCCGCTTCGCAGGCCCGATTTCCGCCGCCGCGGAATCGGGCCCCGGGGGGAACTCCACCCCCCGAAGCACAGCGTGACTGCGTCACCAGAGGTGACGCAACCACATCAATCACGTTGGGGGCGTGGCCCTGATCGTCGGAGGGAAAACTCTATGGTTTTCCCTTCGATGATCGGGGCCATGCCTTCAACGCGATCGACGTCGCGCGTCACTTCCGGTGACGTGCTGGTGGCATGCGTCGAAGGACGGCTCCCGCTGGTAAGATATTTTGATTTGGCAACCCTAGTTCCGACTTCTGTGATGCAGAGGAGGCGTGGTTGCTTACCTGTAACCGTTGTTCAAGTGGTCATTTGTGCAGTTTTGAGTCCCATCCCCAGCCCTTACTGTGGCTTTAGTTTTGAAAGAACTGAGTAGGAAACCATAAGTCCTCCCTCTCGATGTACACAGGTGCTAAAGGGAGGAGGCTTTTACGCCCAAAAGTTTAGCTTTCGAATGTTCTGAATCTAGGTTCTGCACAGGTGCATAGCCTATTAGTGAGACTGAACAGATGACCATCTGAAGAATATCAGCTACAGTTAAACTACTTGCCCCCCTCACTCATCCATTATTTCTCTGTGTTTGTAAAAATGGCAGTTCTTGATAATCTAATGTGCTCTATTGTTTTGTTCAAGATACAAGAAAACATTTCCATTTTCTGGAAAGAAGGAGAAAAGGGAAGTAATTGAAACCAAGGATATCAAAGAAGCAAATCCAAATAGCAAAATTCTAGAGGAGAATCCAAAGAATGGAAAAAGGGCTGAAGAGGTTCAAGCAAAACCCGAACCATCAGTAAAATGTATGGAAGCAGAAGTTTAAAGAAATAAATAGGAGGACAGCTAAAATGGACAGATTTTAAATGAACAAAAAGAAAACAGCAAACAGTTTATAAATAGATTCAGGTGGTCAGCCATGTTGATCTGAAGCAGCAAAACAAAGTCTGATTCCCAGTGGCACCTTTAACACCAACAAAGTTTTATTCAAGGTATGAGCTTCTGTGTGCAAGCACACTTCATCAGGTATATGACATTGTCACATTTACTACCATTTTTAATTAAGCACATATAATGTATTAAGAACTGATACATTGCCAAATTCATGTTCATCATTTTATTTTATTTTATTTACTGTATTAACTGCATAATTTTCTATACATCTTAGTAGGAAGAAACATCTGTAACCATATTTGCAAAACAAATCTGGATCCCAATTGTTATGGAGGGTTGTCTCAATGTACAATTCAATAAACAATTATGGAAAATTATTTTCATGTGATATGCGGATCTTCTTTAAGGACAGAAATAATAAGTTTCTTATGTTGTTGTTGTTCAATCGCACAGTCGAGTCCGACTCTTCGCGACCCCATGGACCACCTCACGGCAGGCCCTCCTGTCTTCCGTCGTGCTCCAGAGTTTGCTTAATTTCATGTTCGTTGCCTCGACAACACTGTCTAACCATCTCATCCTTTGCCGTCCCCGTCTTCTTTGACCTTCAGTCTTTCCCAGCATCAGGGTCTTCTCCAGTGAGTGCTCCCTTCTCATTTGGTGGCCAAAATATTTGAGCTTCAGTTTCATTATCTGGCCTTCCAGGGAACAGTCAGGGTTGATTTCTTTGAGGATTGACTGATTTGTTCTTCTTGCAGTCCAAGGGACTCTCAAGAGTCTCCTCCAGCACCATAGTTCAAAAGAATCTATTCTTCGGCGCTCGGCATACCTGTTACCATGCGGCTCTCCTCCCATACTACCCACTTGGGGCAGCACAGTGACTTGAGACAGCCCTGCCTGATAGCTAAGCAGAAGGAAATAAACATGGCTCACTTCTCTCTATTTTCCCCTTCCCGCCGCCGCCCCACCAGCCACAGCTGGGGCGCTCACCTGGAGCCTCTTTCTAGAGCTCATTGTATTTCTTTCCACACTGGGCCTTACTCCTAGTACAGTCATAACAGATTAGGGATGGGCACGAACCAGGAAAATGGAGGTTCATCCCAGTTCATGCTTTGTGGGGTCACATGAACCACAAACCTTAATGAACTTCTACGTTTACCAAACTGGTTTGTTTTCTGAGGTTCATAATATGGTGGTGGTGGGGAGGTCTGAGATCTTCCCTCCCTCATTTTTGCTGGGGATGGCTTGCTGCTTGGACTTTACTCTCACGCCGCATGGCTTGCAAAAGTCATTCCAAGGGAAGGTTCCTTTTAAATTGCTTTTGCAAGCCGTGCGGTGTAAGAGTGAAGTCCAAGCGATGAGTTCACCCGGAAGTGAGTGAGCTCACTGCTTGCACAGCACTCTCGTGTGGTGCAGCTTGCAAAAGCCATTAAAAGGGAACACTCCCTTTAAATACCTTTGCAAGCCATGCCACATGCAAGTAAAGTCCAAGCGGCGAGTTCACCTGGATGTCCACACCCCCCCAGTGCTTTGACGACTAATTGATCAGCACCAGCACGTCTACTGCATGAACCCAAACACAAACCACATGAACCCCTGCAAAAAACATGGAGGGTCATGGGAGGTTCATTGCAGGCACAATCACATGACCCTCAGCTCACAAACCATGAATCAGGCAATGTTTGTCATGAAATTGAGTTTATGATGAGGTTCGTGCCCATCCCCATAACAGATCTATTTCAATAAAGAGCTTAACTTTATACCATTGAACTATTCAGTAGTGCATTATATACATAGCATATTAATTACAGACAACTGTGGAATTATTAACTGTTATAATATTTGAACATTAAATATATGCTAGAAAATATGTTGTATATGTTCACGGTATACTAAGGTTGCCAAACTCCAGGTAGCACCTGGAGATCTCATAAGAACATAAGAGAAGCCAATGTTGGATCAGGCCAGTGGCCCATCTAGTCCAACACTCTGTGTCACACAGTGGCCAGAAATACCAGTGCCATCAGGAGGTCCAGCAGTGGTGCCAGGACACTAGAAGCCCTTCCACTGTTGCCCCTCCCAAGCACCAAGAATACAGTGCATCACTTGCCCCAGCCTGAGGGTCCCTATCTATACCTTGTGGCTAATAGCCACTGATGGACCTCTGCTCCATATGCTTATCTAATTCCATCTTGAAGCTGTCCATGCTTGTAGCTGCCACCACATCCTGTGAAAGTGAATTCCATGTGTTAATCACTCTTTGGGTGAAGAAGTACTTCCTTTTATGTGTTCTAACCCGACTGCTCAGCAATTTCATTGAGTGCCCACGAGTTTTTGTATTGTGAGAAAGGGAGAAAAGTACTTTTTTCTAGACCTGCTCTATCCCAGGCATAATCTTATAGACCTCGATCATGTCACCCCTCAGCGATCGTTTCACCAAGCTAAAGAGCCCCAAGCACTTTAACCTTTCTTCATAGGGAAAGTGTTCCAACCCTTTTATCATTCTAGTTGCCCTTTTCTGCACTTTTTCCAATGCTATAATATCCTTTCTGAGGTGTGGTCACCAGAACTGTACACAGTACTCCAAATGAGGTCACACCATTGATTTATACAGGGGCATTATGATACTGGCTGATTTGTTTTTATTCCCTTCCTAATAATCCCCAGCATAGCGTTGGCCTTTTTTATTGCAGTTGCACACTGCCCAGACATTTTAATTGAGTTATCCACTACGACTCCAAGATCTCTCTCTTGGTCAGTCTCTGCCAGTTCGGACCCCATTAGTGTGTATTTATATTTAGGATTTTTGGTTCCAATGTGCATCACTTTGCACTTGGCCACATTGAACCCCATTTGCCACGTTGACGCCCACTCGCCCATCCTCAACAGATCCCTTTGGAGTGTCTCTCAATCCTCCCTGGTTCTCACCACCTTGAACAACTTCGTGTCATCTGCAAATTTAGCCACTTCAGTGCTTACTCCCAACTCGGAATCATTAATGAACAAGTTAAAAAGCATCAGACCCAGCTTACTTAGGAGCCTTTGATGAGGAACTTTATCAAAAGCTTTCTGGAAGTCAAGGTAAACGACATCTATTGGGTCCCCCTTGTCCACATGTTTGTTCACCCCCTCAAGGAATAATAACAGGTTAGTGAGACAAGATCTTCCCATACAGAACCCATGCTGAGTCTTCCTCAATAGGTTTTGTTCATCAATGTGCCTACTAATTCCTTCCTTAATAACAGTTTCCACCAACTTACCTGGTATCGATGACTGGCCTGTAATTTCCCAGATCTCCTCTGGAACCCTTTTTTAAATATAATTTTATTTTTATAACAATTTTATAACAATTTATAACAATCTAACAAACTAAAAAACCCAACATTTAATACAATACAAAATCAATATATTTTGCAGGTAACTCTGTCACACCATCTTTTACAGTGTTCACATAGTTAAAAAATAGAAACCATTTTTCTACAAAACTAGATGTTTTATGGGGTTGTTCCATTTCCAAAATCTGCATTGCTATTTGGTCCATAATTACTATATCCCATAACTTTGTAAACAATTGTTTTAATGTAGGAACTTTATCAAGTTTCCAAACTTGTGCTATTAATGTTTTAGCTGCAATAATCATTAAAGATATTAGTTCTTCAGTTGTTTTTGAAAAACAATCCTTATTCCATCTATATATCTAATAGCGAAGGTGCTCCCTGTGTGCGGATATCTAAATC